ATACTTTTGTAGAATGAGTGAAATACTTATTTTGAAAATAGTTATGTTAAGAAATATAGCAGAGTTTTCAAATACTAATACTGAACGTAAGAAAACATAAAATTATAGTCGGTTAAATTTATATAAGAGCAGTTATAATCCGATCTAAAACCCATACTTATAAGAAAATTCGTATAGTCTGACTGTAGTATAAACTGAAGTTAAAGTAGGTTATGACTATAGTATATATTATATTCTGAGCAAAGACGATAGTCGATAGCAGCGACTGTGGTCTGGTTATATTTTGACTATAATATCACTATAGTATCGATTATCTACTATTAGTATAGTAGCGACTATATTATTTCTATAGTCTTACTATAGCATCAATTATAGTATGAATAAATTATCACGTATAGTCTGATTATAGTATCGAGCATAGTGCGACTATAGCACCGACTGTTGTCAGATTATCTATTGGATCATCTATAGTATGGATATAGTATCGACTATATTCTGGCTATAGTATGCTATAGTATCGTCTATAGTATCATTATAATATTGACTATAGTCTGACTATTATCTGATTATGGTTTGGATTATACTCGCATAATATTATCGAATATAGTTTTACCATAGTATCGACTATAAGATCGCTTATAGTGTGGACAATAGCATCAACTATAATCTAAATATATTTTCAACTATAGTCTAACTATAGACCATAGTATCGACCATATTCTGACTATAGTATCGACTTTGGTCTGACTACAGTATCGCCTATAGTCTGACCGTAGTATTGACTATAGTCTGACTATAGTATCGACTATAGTCTGACTTTAGCATTAACTATAGTCTGACTTTAGTATCGACTATAGTTTGACTACAGTATCGACTATAGTTTGACTACAGTATCGACTATAGTCTGACTACAGTATCGACTATAGTATCGACTATAGTCTGACTTTAGCATTAACTATAGTCTGACTACAGTAACGACTATAGTCTAACCTCGTTATCAACTGTAGTCTGAGTATAGTATCGACTATAGTATGACTGCAGTATCGACTATTCTCTGACTGTAGTATCGTCTAAAGCCTGTCTATAGTATCGTATATAGTCCGACTATAGAATCGACTTAAATCTGTTTATAGTAACGACTATACTATGACTATAATATTTTGATACAAATGTCGCTCAGATATTGTCTCAGTGTGGCTGGGATCGTTCTGAAACAAAGATCCAATTGTTATAGGAACAATAAGCAATATAAGCAAAAATTCTTGGAAATTTTCCGAAACTTTAGAAATATGAATTATCGAAAGTTATTCTGTTGTAAGATTTCTTCAGAACTCTCACTTTGTTTCTTATACTTATTGTCTTTATATTAGAATTCATACTTACATATGTATGTATGTTTGTATATGTTTTTTTCTAATTAGAAAAATGGCATCAAAAGACATTTGGGAATTCCAATAAAAAAAAAAAAAAAAAACAAAAATATGAAAAACTATGTATTTAATAATAGAGAATAAATAAAAAGAAAAACACAACACACAAGAAACAACAATGTGAACTCTAGAATTATTCTCAATGGAATAGACTTCAGTTTTTGTCTACCAAAATAAATGAATGAAATGTGAAATGTATTGTGACAGATTGTTTATTTGTCTGATTTGTTTTTCGTTTTTTTTTATTAATACACAAATTCCTTTTGATTCATAATTTCTGTTATACGTAGGTGGAGTCATAAATAGTTTCATATTGACAACAAGAGGGAGATACTTAGTGTGAAATAACATACAAATTATGGGTTAGAGTACAGAGTGAAAACTAAACAGACACGCAAACATTTAGACATATGAGGTCAACTAGATACAATTATAACAAATCAGACCTATCACTTAAAATGTAAATTTACATGTTAAATGTCAAATTTGTAATTAATAAATTAGAAAACATTTTATGTATAAAAAATTGGATTTAGGTTTTTCTTTTGTATTTGAAATGATGTTAACTAACTTTACTTTTCTTTGCAATTAACCCACTTTATTAAACAAGTAAAAACCATCATAATATTTATACATGTAACAGGATGAATTTATGAATAAATAAATGTTTTATTTACAAAGATGAACTATCCTGACTTAATATACTTAAAGCATTACATATATGTATTTGTGTATTATACATATATCTTATATGTGTATATTGGTATAACTACACATTCCACAGGATATTTTTCTTTTGTATCCATTTGTTATTTATGGTTATGATTTAGCACAGGACAAGTCAAAAGATGAGTGAAGTAAATATTTGTTAGATGTGAAAAGTTCAGAAATTACTTATTTTCGTCTTAAAGAATTTTTCAGCAATTAAAGCCGTTTTATTTAAAGGTTTTGAACTAAAATTAATTAAATTTGTTTTAGATTTGTAATGACTTTAGGATAACATTTGTTATTAAATTCATGTTGCAAACTCCTTTTCAATTCAAGAAAATTTAAATGTCTGTTTAGTTTTGGGAAACTACTAAAAGTGATATTTGATATTAAAATTACTTGTGTTTCTTGTTGTTTATTTTATGAATTCACAAATGCTTTTTATATAAATATTTTTTCATTTAAAAAAGTTTTTATTTAGTTTGTTACTTAATATAAATTTTCCTAAATATAAAAGTTTGTTTTACAATTATTACTTAAATATTTATAACTATTAAAAAGTTTTTTTTTAATTTTACAAAAATTTTAAACAGATTAAAAAGTTTACTGTGAAAGATTTTATGACAATTTTTATTAAAAAGTAATATTTTTTTGGAAAAGAATCCCCTGGTCTATAAAACTTTGAAAGAGAAACTCAATTTTTAAGCCAAAATTAAATTAGCCACAAAGTTTATCTTAGAAACAACATAAACTTTATAAGCCATATAACACTTAGATAAAAATACCAAAATCCTTAAAAAAAATCAATAATATATTTACAAAACGTAATATGTTTGTTAGACAGCAGTTAAATAAGCAGTGACATATATTACATACCAGACTAATTTAATAGTCTCAGTGACTTTATATACACATAGAATTTTTTTTTTTTTTTTTTGCAGCTATCAATTTTATTAGAATTTTATTAGAGTCATTCTTTCTACAGTAGACTAAAAGTTAGAAAACTCAAATCATGTTCTACCAAACACTAACACCACCTAATCTCGCCCATTTAGCCCAATACTTTTAGCTCCCTGAAGCTTAAACCGTAACAACAGCAGAAGCACATAAAAGTGTTTATTTAATACGTGACACGTGATTATTGTCGCTTTAACTTTCAACACTAATTGCTTTCATTAGCAATATTTAATCGCAAACCTACAGACATACAAACATACGTACATAGTATGTCTAAACTTTATATGGTTTAGTTGTTTATATATATGTATTATATAAATGTAAAAGTTTTATGATTAAATCAGTAATGATTTGTAACACATAAAACAAAATAAAGTTTTACATGCCACACAAAGACAATAAAATCCTACTTTAACTTATTCGTAATACTACTACAATTTTTCATACATGTTACACAAAGTTTACACTTCTGTGTAAATAGTACATACTAGTATTTAGTATTTAGTAGAAAAAGTAAATTTTTTTTGATAGAAAAGGTATTTTTTGTCTACCATTAACTTTTCTTAAGAATTTTCTTTTAGATGAGATTACATATTTGTAAAAGTTTAAGGTTGCTACTTTTGCTGCCAGGCGTGCAGGAAAAGGATACGAAATACAAACATAATTCCGAAAAAAACATGCTTTAGCGAAAAACAGGACTAGGACTACATTTCACAGGATAATTTGGAAACATACATATATGGGCATTTTCATATCAAGTGACCCAACTCAAAAAATCGATTTTTAGCGCTATCGGTCAAGAACTGCCGGTCTTAGAGGAGGTTAAAGTTGGACATTTTGGTCATATGGGGTTTTATTGAAATGACTGTAACTTTTTACCTATTGGTCTTGGCAAAAAATTGTGCAAAGGAGTTCATTGATTTTTAAAGTTATTTTTTCTTGACACGAAATGACCCATATATATTAGTAAGTTAGTAAGGCAGTAAGTTAGTAGGTTAGTAAGTTAGTAAGTTAGTAAATTAGTAAATTAGTAAGTTAGTAAGTTAATAAGTTAGTAAGTTACTAAGTTAGTAAGTTACTAAGTTAGTAAGTTGGTTCAAAGTTAGTTAGTTCAAGTTAAAAAAAATATGTACAATAATATCGAATCAACTCTACATTGTCTCCTTGTAAAGCTGCTGCAGTGTATTTCTAAGTTTTTGAGAAAAATCTAAAGAATTAAATTAAACATACAAATGTATGTAAACACCTTGTTCCTAGTATAATTCTTTAAAGAAATTATGTATCCAACAAATTTTTATGTATTTGTTCAAATATTCTTTCCTAGTATTTCTATAAAATTACATGCTTGTAAAGTAAATGTATATTTTACAGCTAAAATGCTACAAGCTGTAAATATCCTGCATGTAAAACTGTATATGTATATAAATACATACATTTAACAACATAAAATGTTTGCATAAAGGAAATATTTTATTACTTGTAAAAATAACTTTTAACTATATTATTAGGTGTAGTAAATAAATTAGGTGTAGCATTTCTGCAATAAAAAATAAGACGAAGTCTTGTAAGGCAGATAAACTGCCTCATAATTATTGTTGTAAAATAATAAATTAAATTTATTGCTAGATACTTTATAAATTATTTGTATGGTATGATTTTGCCGCCTTAGTCATTTAATTACACCTAACAGTTTCATTATTTTGTATATTCCTAACATTCCCTTTAATTTTGTTTTTAGCTTTCCAGAGATTTTCACAATCTCTGGGAATTTTGTTAGATTTAAGGAAACGTTTTTTCCAAAAACAAACTTCTTATATTTAGTTTTATAACTAAGCAACTAAATTAATTATTTTAAAACTCTTGCTTATATTACAATATTTGTTTTGCATTTCTTTCTCTTTTTAGTTTAAGACATGTTACGTGGCAAATGCAAAATTCAATCATGGTTACTAAGAAAAGAAAAAGCAGATCATCAACAACAACACCAACAGCCTCATCATTATCGCCATCAATATGCACAATTGCGGCAAGGAAAGCAAGTCCAACGTTTACAAATGTCACGCTGTGGACGATAGTTTTAATGGTAAGTTGATTAATTAAAAATTTTAAAGCTATTTAAGACCTAACTCTTACTTTTGTCGTGCATGTATGTATGTAGATCAGTCAAACTATTATAGTGATATATTCTAGTTTGATTAATCTGAGTCCTTATTTGAAATTGTTTACCATCAAGTAGGCAACCATCTTTATAGAGACCTTTTGATGTTGAAGAACAAGGGAGCAACCGTTTAAACAAAGATCAGGCACTGGGTTTAACATCTGGCTTGCAGAAGAGATAAGTTTCCTGTTGTAGAGTTTCTTGGCTAAACATTATTTTAAGAAATTAAAATACTTTCATTTAGTTCCACTTAAACTAGATTTAATGTTAAAATTTCCCTTTAAAATTACTACCATTATATTAATATACAATAATTTTAGTTTCCATTAAAGATATAGATTTAAAATAATTAAAGTTTTTCTCTTAATAGCACATACTAAGTATTTCATGTCCGTAGAAAAGTTTTTAATCGTCTAAATGCTTAAATGTATTTTGTTTCTTTATAGGAACAAAAAAAAAGAAAGTTAATAGCTAAATCCGTTTAGATTTTTATCAAAAGGAAATTATTAAATATCCTTGATATTTCTATTTTATTTCTTCTACATTTTAACTCACGAAGATTACAACAGGCTTATAGTGTGTGTGAGTTACGTTGTAACCGGAAACTCTTCAATTAAGTTACTAAATACTCATTAGTTTATTGTTCAGTTCTAATTTTATTTTTGTGTGTAAAATATACATTTAATCATTTACACGTACATGCATACATACATACACACATTCACTCATCTACGCAATACTTTATCCTTTACTGTTTTATAAAAACAACATAAAACATAAAACCAATTGTTATGGGGGGGGGGGGGGAGTTAGACACCATGTTCTTACTCTTCTTAACCTAGGAAGAGTATGAGCCTTTTATACACTTTAGTTACTAAACGATAATAAAGAAATTTAGTAGCAAACCGCTCCTCATCCTCCCCTTAGCAAATCCATTTAACATTTTATGCATTGTTTGGTTGGTGGTCGTTTGGTTTGTGATGCCTTCTTGTTGATTGTGTAAAAGTTATGTTGGTTATAAATTTGCCTGGTTTGATTCGTATGGATATACATATATTTAGAACGGAAGTCATAATATATATTTTCTTATATCTTAAGATATAATATATGGATATTATAGTAAAAGCTTCCTTTGGCATAATACAAGCCATTTACTTTGGTACTATTTGGTAATTTAACTTTGCATCTGTTTAATATTTTATTCTGCAGTTACGTGCAGATAGTATATACTTAGTAGGTTTTATTTATATTTGTTCCTTTTGCAATTTATTACTTTGAAATCTACCTCTAAATTTAATATTACTGCAATTAAATATAAATTAACCCAAATGTTAAACATTAACTTGAATACGAATGTAAAGTGATTTTTGTATTTAATGAAAATTTAGCAAAAGTATTGTGGTCCCTGGTATTTAGAAATGACATGTTTAAGTAGAACAGTCAATTGTCCTTGATCTTTTATTCAATTTTAGACAAATTTTTTAAAAAATAAGTTGAGATATCAAACTTATCTGAGGCAGCTTAGAAATACTTTATATCTTCTGGTCGCGACTGAGTCTTTAGTGAATCAATGCTGAGAGTTAGAAATAGTAAGAGGAAACGCCAGAGTTACAATAGATCAGAGATAGGCTAAGAGCTCACTTGCATTCTTGTTTTCTCATTTATGTAAGCGCACACATGTTCAAACAACAATTAAACTTTTCACAAAACTCATTGGTCACTCTATGTTATCTGACTGGTTTTGTTGGTTTTTATACATGTGTGAGCATAAAAGAAAAAGTACAAGAGAGCTCGTTTCAGAGAGTTCATTGCGCATGTACTTATGTAATAGATTCTAAAACAGAGATAGGCAAAGTCTTCTTTTAGGAGCTTTCTTACCTTCATACGAATAAATGCTCTCACTTATGAGTCTCAATTGTCATCTTCTGTTGTAGCCTGTTCTAAAATTTGCTTAGTAGTGAAAGTGTTTTGTTTTATGTTTACAATTTTTTAATTCCTGGAATAAAAAGTTTAAAATTTAAGAAATCAAAAATTCTAAAAATATTCTTCAAATACAGGACATTGTAAACAATAACGTTACTTTCGTAGCAACCAGTATGTTGTTATATTTTCATTTGGCCAAAAAATGTTGTTTTAATTCGTTATTACAGTCCTGGTCATATTGTTTGTAGTTGGACAATTATATACACTAAAGGTGTATAACACTCCACATACAAGAACATACTAATATCCCAGCAAACATTTAAATCTTAAATTAAAGACAAAACTTTGAGAAATTTACAGGATATATATCTTCCAAACTTTACGAAATGTTGCCTGGATTAAGTAGAAGTTTAACATTTCAATGAGTATCTGATATTTAATGTTTGCTGGGTATTATTTTAGTACATTTGCATTTGTACATGTGAACGCTTTTGTTGTACATTATTTCCGCACTAATTCGTATAGACCCAAATGTGACATGATTGGCAGTTTGAACGCAATTTTTATTTCGTTTAAAATTTTTGGATAAAAAATTTATTTTGTTTTTCATTTGAGAGAGGCAGTTTTAAAGTTGTTCAAATTGTACATTTGAAATTTTTATTTGGTGATTGTTGTTGTTGTTATACAACATGTCTAACTATAGTTGGCAGTTGAGTTTTATTTAATTTTCACTTTTTATGCAAAAAAATCCTCTACAAATTGACACAATGGCTTTTGTTTTGTAAAAAGATAAAAGTAGATAGATATGTTTTAAAAATATTGATGATGAAGGGATGACATCATATAATTAACATATTTGTTCAAATACTAGAGAAGGATAGTAAAAATGTTTAGTATTACGTAGCAATCTATTGGTATCTAATATCTAATGTTCACAAAATTTTGTTAGTTAGTGGATATCAACTTTTCATTATTGATATTATATACATATTTTGTGTTAAAAATAATTGATTTAACATTTTGACAATTGAGAACATAAATGCAAGAAAATAAATTTTTATTACATTTCTACATACATAATTGTTTTAAAAAATGTTAAACAGAATAATAAAAAAAAATTGTTTTTATTTTTTTTTTTTTTTTTTCTTTTGAATTCAATATAAAACTGAATAACTAGAATTTAGAACATGGTTATATTAAATGTAGAAAAAAATTCTAAATTATTTCTATGAAATAATTTATTTATTGTCAATTAAATGTTATATTTTTCAATTTGTTAAGAAAATGTTTATTCTTATTATTATGTCTAAAAACCTTTACCATTTTGCATTTAACAATTTTTAATTTAAAAATTTCCTCTAAGCCCAGCAGACTATTTACTCTAATCTTTCAGTTTTTTCTTCTACTTTGTATTAAATAGTATTTTTAAATTGAAAATATGATACCCCATTGAGTATTAGTTGTAAATGCTTTAAAAAAAGAAAATGACTTGTTATTTAATTTTTTTTTTTTTTTTTGCCTTTCTGTAATACGATGCTACCACATCAATGGCAGACATCACACGGTAACTAATCTTCAACGCCATTTAATGGACATAAGTGTCCATAACGTAAGCTGTGCTTAACAGCTCTAGAACATACCACCATCTCTCACTACGAAAATGCTAGACAAGTCTATGTGCATACATAGTTTTAGTTTATAGTTTATAGTTTATTTAGTTTTTATTTTCGTATATTTGTTTGTGAAGTGAACATACGCCAGACACTAAGGAGACATTACTAAGGTTTCAAGCAGCTTAAATGTGGTTAAAACATTATACTTAGACAAGTTTAAAACTATCACACAATTACAAACAAGCCAACGAACAAATACCAAAATAAACACGAGCAATTGCAAGCAGCCAAACATATACGCATAGACAGACAAGCGGACGGACGGACAGGGAAGCAAACAAACCAACTAACAAACTGACGTCTACCAACTGACTTACTGAAAATAAATCTACACAGTAGCCGAGAAAATAAATTGTTTGCAAAATTATATGTAAGAACTGTATAAAGTGTCTCCGTAGTTTAGTTGCTAGGCTTGTGGTTTCGATTCTCACCAGAGACACAACTTGACCGATAGTGGACTAGGATATTTCTTCGGATCCGTAGTAATGACATACATCATCCTTTAAAACTAACTACTTATATCGAAAGCCACGTTCGTTTATTTTAAACAAAAGAAACGAAATTTCCATATTTTGGTCAATAAAATTTTTTATGAATAGGATAGATAGATAGATAGATAGATAGATAGATAGATAGCTAGATAGATAGATAGATAGATAGATAGATAGATAGATAGATAGATAGATAGATAGATAGATAGATAGATAGATAGATAGATAGATAGATAGATAGATAGATAGATAGATAGATAGATAGATAGATAGATAGATAGATAGATAGATAGATAGATAGATAGATAGATAGATAGATAGATAGATAGATAGATAGATAGATAGATAGATAGATAGATAGATAGATAGATAGATAGATAGATAGATAGATAGATAGATAGATAGATAGATAGATAGATAGATAGATAGATATAGATAGATAGATAGATAGATAGATAGATAGATAGATAGATAGATAGATAGATAGATAGATAGATAGATAGATAGATAGATAGATAGATTAGATAGATAGATAGATAGATAGATAGATAGATAGATAGATAGATAGATAGATAGATAGATAGATAGATAGATAGATAGATAGATAGATAGATAGATAGATAGATAGATAGATAGATAGATAGATAGATAGATAGATAGATAGATAGATAGATAGATAGATAGATAGATAGATAGATAGATAGATAGATAGATAGATAGATATAGATAGATGATAGATAGATAGATAGATAGATAGATAGATAGATAGATAGATAGATAGATAGATAGATAGATAGATAGATAGATAGATAGATAGATAGATAGATAGATAGATAGA